AGGTAAGGATAGTTCTGCAGTTTCAGTCTAGGTGGTGGAGAGAATGATGTCATTGGAAAGAAAAGTTCCAATAAATAACAGGTTCTAGGGGAAAAATGCCAGAATTCAATTTTAGACAAGTTGAATTCGAGATGATGGATAAGAAACTGTATCAGTTAGGATTCTTCCTTGGAAGCAATCAAAATCAATTCTGACTTAAGTGGCCAAGGAACTTTTCAGAGTAGGTTCGGGTAGTTTTCAGAGTCTTCAGGAGATCTGCTGAACCAGGTTGAGGGCCACTCTGGGACAGCGCCCCAGTTCAGGGTCCCCAGGGCACTGCCGCTGAGCCCTGCGGGTCACTGACGCTGGGTCTGCTCTCAGCCTCTTTGCCACTGCTTCAGCCACTGGTGCTGCCTGCTTCTCGGCCCCTGCCTCCCTACAGCCCAGGCTCCCAACTCAAGGGCAGCTGGGAGAGCATGCGTCTGGGTTTTCCAGCTTCTTAAGTGGGATGTAGCCTCTGTCCCCTACTGAAGCTCATTAGGTCTTGCAAGTTTCCCAAGGTATTAACAGGAAAAGAGTCATATGCTAGAAACCAAAAGAGCATCCAGGTACACGTTCCTATAAGGCAGCGGTCCTCAACCTTTTGGGCACCAGGAACCAGTTTTACAGAAGACAAATTTTCCACAGATGGGAGATGCTGGGGGCGATGAAAGCAATGAAGAGTGATGGGGAGTGGCAGATGAAGCTTCACCTGCTTGCCCACAGCTCCCCTCCCACTGCACACCCCCATTCCTAACAAGTTGGAGACTGGTACCAGTCCTCGGCAGACTGGGGGTTGAGGACCCCTGCTATGAGGGGTTCAGTAAGTTTGGACTGCAGCTCAGGGCAGAGGCTGGGGTTAGTGATATAGTGCTCGGTTGTTCCCCAGAGTAGAGCATCTTGGGCATGAGGTATTAGATAGATAGATGGTAGATAGATGATAAAGAAAGCTGAGTGCTGAAGACTGGATGCTTTTGAACTGTGGTGCTGGAGAAGGCTTTTAAGAGTCTCTTGGACTGCAAGGAGGTCCAACCAGTCCATCCTAAAGGAAATCAGTCCTGAATATTCATTGGAAGGACTGATGCTGAAGCTGAAACTCCAATACTTTGGCCACCTGATGCAAAGAGCTGACTCATTGGAAAAGACCCTGATGCTGGGAAAGACTGAAGGTGGGGGGAGAAGGGGACGACAGAGGATGAGATGGTTGGATGGCATCACTGACTCAATGGACATGAGTTTGGGTAAACTCCGGGAGTTGGTGATAGACAGGGAGGCCTGGCGTGCTAAAGTCCATGGGGTCACAAAGAATCAGACATGACTGAGTGAACTGAACTGAACTGAGATAGATAGATGATAAATAGATAGATGACAGAGAACTAGATAGATAGATGGTAGATAGAAGATGGCTGAGAAGTGAAACTTGGAGAAACTTTGGAGGTGGCTGGAGGAAGGAAAAAAAGACGTATCAGCCAAGTTGGAAAATTCATCAAGGGGAGAGAGAGCTTCCGTGGAGTGGAGTATGCTGAGCAAGTGTGGCACAAGGTGATAACCGCCACTCCCCGGGAAAATATCCAAATCTTTTCTAAGGATGTCAGAGTTGGCTATCCCAGCCATTGAAAAAGCTACAGAGAAGTAGTCAGTGGGTGGTAAAGAAAGAAGGAAGGGAGTGTGGTCAGCCCATTAGTCAGCCCTATTGTGTATACACTGCACAATCCCAGCCCATGCTATTTGTGCTGTAGAATGATTCACATGGAGAGCCCAGCTCTGGAGTGCTGCTTAGCAATTAGCTTTATGCACTTTCCTGAATTCTTAATGGTTTTTGGCCAGGGCCTGGACAATGAGGGGGCTGCCTCTGTCAATATCTGAGATCTCTGCTTAAGTATAGAACTTCTGCATGAGCTTCTGCTGATGTCTGCCGGTCGTAGCTTGCTGGAGGCTGGTTCACAGGGGAGGTACCCGGCGTGCAGTCGGACAGATGCACTTCTTCAGGGTCCAGGGAACCGGGTCTAGTTCTCCTGAATTCTGGTTGAGTCAGAAATTTCATTTGAACCTAAGATGCGGCAGTTAGCTATGCTCTCTGGAATGGGCCAGAAAGGGGGTGAGGTCCTGGGGACAGACTTCAATCCCCTAGGGGTTTTCTGTTCATAGGACAGTAGGGTGTGTCTGGGTCTGAGGTTTGGCCAGGATTTTGACCTTGAACTTGATATTTGAAGACCGTTCCTCTAACAAAAGTAGACCAAAATCTTTTCGCTATTTGAGAGGACCTAGAGAGGTGCTGAGTCCTGCAGGAGATTTCATGCAGGGGCCAGGAACACACTAGCCCAGGGTTAAATTTGATTGCCCTTCAAGACATAGTGGGAGAAGGAAATGACTACCCACTTCAGTACCCTTATCTGGAAAATCCCATGGACAGAGGAGCCTGGTGGACTGCAGTCCATGGGGTCACAAAGAGTCAGGTATGACTGAGGGACTAACACTCCAGTTCAGTTCAGTTCAGTCACTCAGTCGTGTCCGAATCTTTGCGACCCCGTGAACCACAGCACGCCAGGCCTCCCCGTCCATCACCAACTCCCGGAGTTTACTCAAACCCATGTCCATCGAGTCGATGATGCCATCCAACCATCTCATCCTCTGTCGTCCCCTTTTCCTCCTGCCCTCAATCTTTCCCAGCATCAGGGTCTTTTCCAATGAGTCAGCTCTTTGCATCAGGTGGCCAAAGTATTGGAGTTTCAGCTTCAACATCAGTCCTTCCAATGAACACCCAGGACTGATCTCCTTTAGGATGGACTGGTTGGATCTCCTTGAAGTCCAAGGGACTCTCAAGAGCCTTCTCCAACACCACAGTTCAAAAGCATCAGTTCTTCGGAGCTCAGCTTTGTTTATAGTCCAACTCTCACATCCATACATGACCACTGGAAAAACCATAGCTTTGACTAGACGGACCTTTGTTGGCAAAGTAATGTCTCTGCTTTTTAATATGCTGTCTAGGTTGGCCGTAACTTTCCTTCCAAGGAGTAGTGTCTTTTAATTTCATGGCTGCAATCACCATCTGCAGTGATTTTGGAGCCCAGAAAAATAAAGTCAGTCACTGTTTCCACTGTTTCCCCGTTTATCTGCCATGAATTGATGGGCCCAGATGCCATGATGTTAGTTTTCTGAGTGTTGAGCTTTAAGACAACTTTTTCACTCTCCTCTTTCACTTTCATCAATAGTCTCTTTAGTTCTTCTTCACTTTCTACCATAAGGGTGGTATCATCTGCATATCTGAGGTTATTGATATTTCTCCCACAATCTTGATTCCAGCTTGTGCTTCCTCCAGCCCAGTGTTTCTCCTGATGCAATCTGCATATAAGTTAAGTAAGCAGGGTGACAATATACAGCCTTGATGGACTCCCCTTCCTATCTGGAACCAGTCTGTTGGTCCATGTCCAATTCTAACTGTTGCTTCCTGACCTGCATACAGGTTTCTCAAGAGGCAGGTCAGGTGGTCTGGTATGCCCATCTCTTTCAGAATTTTCCACAGTTTATTGTCATCCACACAGTCAAAGGCTTTGGCATAGTCAATAAAGCAGAAATAGATGTTTTTCTGGAACTCTCTTGCTTTTTCTATGATCCAATGGATGTTGGCAATTTGATCTCTGGTTGCTCTGCCTTTTCTAAAACCAGCTTGAACATCTGGAAGTTCACGCTTCACGTATTGCTGAAGCCTGGCTTGGAGAATTTTGAACATTACTTTACTAGCATGTGAGATGAGTGCAATTGTGCAGTAGTTTGAGCATTCTTTGGCATTGCCTTTCTTTGGGATTGGAATGAAAATGGACTTTTTCCAGTCCTGTGGCCACTGCTGAGTTTTCCAAATTTGCTGGCATATTGAGTGCAGCGCTTTCACAGCATCATCTTTCAGGATTTGAAATAGCTCAACTGGAATTCCATCACCTCCACTAGCTTTGTTCGTGGTGACGCTTCCTAAGGCCCACTTGACTTCACATTTTGACTAACACTTACACTTACTTAAAGGCACAGTGGGAGGGAGGAATACGATCTTCTGAGGGGACCCTATAAAGTGCCGCTGACTCAGACAGGTGGTTGCCACGGACTCAAGGGCGGGGAGCATGTCAGAGTCACTTTCGGTCCTTCACTGCCAGAGCGGATAGCTCTTTTTCCAAAATTACTTAATGTGTTTATTCGGCTGGGGTCCTAAGTGCAGCGCTCGAGGGCTCAGTAGCTGAGGCATGAGGGCTTCGCTGCCTCTCGACACGTGGGATCTTAATTCCCGGACCAGGGCTGGGCCCCACGTCCCCTGCATGGCATGGCACATTCTCTCCCACTGGGCCACCAGGAAGTCCCAAGAGTGGCTAGTTCTTGAGTGGTAGATCTCGTGGCTGAGCCCTGGGCTTTGCCTGGAGCGTGGAGGGGGCATGGAGAACACAGCTCCGCTGGGCCCGCTCAGGACTGCTGATTCTGCTGGACTATTGAGCTCTGAGGAGGGGCCTCTTGTAAGGGACACGCTTTCAGCGGATGCCGGCCCTGATGCTCTGGGGACCACACTCGGAAAGTCCTGGCCAAAGGAAAGAGACCAGGGAAGGCAGGGAGGTTCGCCAGTGAACGTGTCCATTCCAGTTCGAGAGCTAACTTAGCCAGTGCTCGCGGCAGCCTGTTGTGTGCTCTGGGCACTGCCCGTGGGGCCCGGGACCACCCACGCACCTGATCTGCTCGTGAGGCTGCAGCGATCCCCTGGGCGGGCAGGAGGCAATGAGCAAGCTCGGCTGGGAAACGCTCCTCTGGCACCCTCCCCTCCGGCCCGTGGGCTGGTTTCGGTTTCCTCGCTTGGCCTAGTTCTGGTTGGAATTGAAGCCCTGCTTCATATTTAATAGAGGCTTCTGTTCTCCCTTCACGCAGTATATTGATTCTTATAATTGGGCCTTTTTGCTTGCTCCCAAACTACATTACCCGCATTAACAGCTGGCTTAAAATGCCATTAGAAAACCATACGGGCCTTAGCGGAGGAGAAAGAAGGGAAATGCAGCTCCGAGAGCGCCAGCCCTTCCCGTAAGAGCTCGCGGATGGGGAAGTCAGCGGGGCTGCCTTTTCTGCCTCTCGCTGGCTGCCACCCCCAGAGCTCTCCAGCCGGCGGCCGGCGGCTTATTCAGCTCTGCTCTGCAGGCCGGGACAGTCAGGATGCGGTGGGGGGGGGTCCCTACATTCTTAGTCTGCTCTTGCTAATGAGGCCGCCATCCTGTGAGTCTGTGCGCACATCTGTCTGCCACCCTGGGCCTTAGCTCACTGCATTGCAAAGTCAGAAAGGCTACACAGCCCTGGAGAAATTCTCAGGCTAGCAAGTCCGATCTCATTTTAGTAGCTCTCTTCTTATTCAGCCTCCCTGGACTTACTTGTGCTTTAGTCGCTCAGTCGTGCCTGACTCCGCAGCCCCATGGACTGTAAGCCTGTCAGGCGCATCTGTCCATGAGATTTCCCAGGCAAGAATCCTGGAAAAGGCTGCCATTTCCTTTTCCAGGGGATCTTCCTGACCCAGGGATTGAACCTACCTCTCATGCTTTATGGGCTTCCCTGATAGTTCAGTTGGTAAAGAATCCACCTGCAATGCTGGAGACCCCAGTTTGACTCCTGGGTTGGGAAGATCCGCTGGAGGAGGGATAGGCTACCCACTCCAGTATTCTTGGGCTTCTCTTGTGGCTCAGCTAGTAAAGAATCTGCCTGCAATGTGGGAGACCTGGGTTTGATTGCTGGGTTGGGAAAATCCCCTGGAGAAGGGAACAGCTATCCACTCCAATATTCTGGCCTGCAGAATTCCAGACTGTATAGTCCATGGGGTCGCAAAGAGTCCGACACGACTAAGCGACTTTCATTCAGTCACTCCTGCTTTATAGAAGGTTCCCACTTGCTATCTATTTTACACCTTGTCATGTATGTATGTCAGCCCTACTCTGCCCAGTTCATCTCACCCTCACCTTCCTTCCTTGGTGTCCACACATTCGTTCCCTATGTTTGTGTCTCTATTCCTGCCCTGCAAATAGGTTCATCTGTACCATCTTTTCTAGATTCCACATTTAAGCATTAATATACAATATTTGTTCTTCTCTTTCTGACTTACTTCACTCTGTATGACAGACTCTAGGTCCAGCCACATATTTATAATAAATAAATAAACAATCTTCAAGCTAGAAAAAATAAAAGCCCCCTAGACGAGTCTAATGTGAAGCCCTGGTTGAGGACCTGTGCTTTAGACTCTGCTGTCCAGTTTGGTAGCTGGACGTGGCTGTGGAACAGCTGATGTGTGGCTGTTTGGAACTGAGATGCGCTGTAAGTGCAAAATACACAGCGAATTTTGGAGATTCTGAGGACAATATGAAAGCAAGACTGTAGAATAATATTTCATGGATGAATAAATGGCCAGAGGTCATTCTCAGGGGCAGCTTTCCAAGTTTGCAGACACTATGAAATAGGCCCAATCAAATAAATTTGTAGTTTTTGAGAGAAATAAACATGGATTAAAATACCTGTTCGCTCAGTCGTGCCCAACTCTTGCAACCCATGTTCTATAGCCCGCCAGGCTCCTCTGTCCATGGGATTCTCCAGGCAAGAACACTGGAGTGGGTTGTCATGCCCTTCTCCAGGGGATCTTTCTGACCCAGGGATTGGACCCAGGTCTCCTGCATTGCAGGCAGATTCTTTACCATCTGAGCTACCGGGGATAAAAAATTGCATGTTTAGATAATTAAGATTGTTGCTTTTGCTTTTAGCAAACACACGAAAAGTCAACCTACAGAGTCTATAAGGGGAGAGAATAGGAATAAAATCAGAGTAAGAGCAAGGCTTAATTCCTTAGCGCCCTTTCCTGGCAAGAGAAAGGCAAGGGGCTGCATAGAGACTTAAGAGTCATGCCAAGATGGAAACAGCAACCTGTGCTGGATTAGGGGACACGGGTCACTCCTCACCCTCAAGCACCTCAGGGGACACTTTGAAAGAAAACCGGGGGGAAGTTGACACCCTGAGGCAAGGAGCCTCAACATTTTCTTTTGTCACGAAATAATGGTTTCTTCCGAAGATGCAAACCTAGAGTGTTGCAGAGATTGTAATAAGCACTGAACCTTCACAATGAATATTTCTGATTCTGCACTTGAAGTACTGGGGATATTTGAAGAGTCTAATGCCAACACTGGAGCCATTTTGTGAGTCAAAGGATTTTAGTCCTGGTGAAAACAATCCCCAACACGTGTGAAGTTCATAGTGTGAAATGATCACCCCCCTGGGAGTGAGGAGCTGGCATGGGGAGCACCAACTCTGTAAGGTTCTGCTGGCAGGGGCTACTCAAAATGATTACTAGCGTCCTGCCGTTGGATGGAATCCAAGAAACGAGAGTCTCCAGTTTGAGCTTTCCCCTCTCACGTCCTGATTGTGCCGTGTGGAACAGTGAAACGGGGCAGGAGCATAGCCTGCATCTTCCCCACGGCCACATGCCAGAACACAACACCCTTCACGCCACGTACTTTATGTTCCTGGCAAACACCTGCAATCCACTTGCGATAGATTTCTGAGCCACACCGCTTCCAGCACCAGCAGTGACAGACGTGTCCTCCACGGGTAACGAAAGCAGCAAGGTGATCGGGACTCCCTTCGTAGGAGCTCTTTTGATGAGCAGTCACCACACCAGGGACAGGAAATATGTGATGGTCTCACAGCCCTAAAGACACTTCTCTGGTGCGGGGAAAGGAACCTATGATAAATGAATGGCTTCTCCCCTAGAGACTTCTGCCCGCGTTCCTCTTGCTCGTTTTGTGTAAGATCACAGTACTGGACCTACCGGGTATCCGCAATGCTTTAATTTCCCCAGCTTCAAGGCGCCACCCAAACACCAAGGGCCTTTCACGGGCATAATGTGGAGCTTGATTACCTTCCAGCAGTTTTCTCTCCCTTTCCTTGTAGCTAATGGATCAGTGCTGCTCACAAAGCCCAGCTCTTCTAGGGTCAGCCTCCTAATGGAACTGAGTCATAGGATTTCCTTTCATCCTTCTACACCCTTCTGGGAACATCTCTCCTACTTTGTAAGTCACCTTCCTGACTCCCTTTGGTTAATTTTAGGAAACTTTTCTCTCCTTCTGAATTCATGGGTCCAGAGGCCAGTGGAGTCCCGCCCATCACCGAATCATTGCTCCGCCTCCCCGTCTGTCCTGTGTAAAGGAAAAAGTGCTGCCTTTTAGGTGCACGTGTGCAGTTCGGCTAAAAAGAGAAGTAAAGGTGAAGCCATGAGTCTTCATGTTTTCTTTTTCTGCTTATCCTTTTCATTCTTGCATGACTTCTTGCCAAGAAACAAGTTAGACTTGCTTCAATTTTTTTTTTTTTTAGTTATTTCCTTCCTCTGATAATTTCTTAACTGACGTGTATAAACTTAAGGGCCAGAGGCTGAAGCAATGAAATCTCCAGCCAAACCATGCACCCTCATTGCATTTAATGAGACATCATTGGTCTTCCTGCATCATAAAGAGGTTACTCTGAGCAATTATATGCCAACAAATAACACAACCTAGAAGAAATGGATAAATTCCTACTAACATACAATCTATCAAGAATGAATCATGAAGCAACAGAAAACTTGAACAGACCACCAGGAGTTAATAAAAAAAAAAAGAAGCATATCTTTGCCACTGAACTTTGAAATAGCTTTTCACTCATCTTTTTTATGTCTTTTCTTTTTCTTCATATATGAGAATTAAATGCAATAGAATTAGAGGGAAATGATCATAAAAGTCAATGAAATTAGGTCCAGTTAAGAGGGACTGCAGGCTTCCCAGGTGGTACAAGTGGTAAAGAACCCACCTGCCAGTGCAAGAGACATGGAGATGTGTGTTCAATCCCTGGATCCCAAAGATCCCCTGGAGGAGGGGAAGCCATGGCAACCCACTCCAGTGTTCCTTCCTGGAGAATCCCATGGAGAGAGGAGCCTGGTGGGCTACAGTCCGTGAGGTCACAAAGAGTCAGACACGACTGAAGTGACTTAGCACACATACAAGAGGGACTACATCTCCAGTTCAGTGCACTTCAGTTCAGTCGCTCAGTCATGTCCGACTCTTTGCAACTCCATGGACTGCAGCACGCCAGGCCTCCCTGTCCATCACCAACTCCCAGAGTTTTTTCAAACTCATGTCCATTGAGTCGGTGATGCCATCCAACCATCTCATCCTCTGTTGTCCCCTTCTCCTCCCACCTTCAATCTTTCCCAGCATCAGGGTCTTTTCCAATGAGTCAACTCTTCGCATCAGGTGGCCAAAGTATTGGAGTTTCAGCTTCAGCATCTCCAGAGAGAAGGACTATTGTCTTTATCTTAATCTTTATCTTAATCCCTATACCTAGGATCCTTTTGGTGACCTCTGAAGCTGACATGCTTTGGTGCTCACACTGCCCACAGTTTAATTTGGATCCAGTTAAGGATCAGCTGCAGTGAGGCCTTCCGTCTATTTTCATCATCCTTTCCTAGAATTCGAGTTCTGATGTTGTCACGTGCACATGTAAGTGAGCCAGAGAAGAGAGGGGCTGAGTAGGGGAGGCCAGGATGCTGAGGGCCTCCAAGGGTCAGGGGAAGAGAGGGGAGAGAGCCACATGACCCTGGGGTGGGGTCTGCAGAGGCGCCTGAGTGGTCCCGGGTCAGTTCTCAGTCCAGGCATCCCTCCCCTCCTTTCTGCCGACTTGGTGCCAAAGCTATAAGCTTACTATCAGGAGATATGGTGTCAGCACTGATCTTTTTTAGATCTAAGACATTTCCTTTTTTCGTACCATCATTTCTTTTAATTCATATTTATCTGAGGACATGGTAGTTCTCATACATGTAAAGCCCTAAGAATTTAGAAGTAACCAACATCTGTATTTCATTCTAAATCGGAACTCCATGTACCTGTAATGACAGGCTTTTTCTTTCCCAGAAATATACTTCGGGGGGGGGGCAAAGAGACACAGGAGTGGAGTTTGAACATCACTTTTTTGTTCTGGAGCTGGTGTGCTTCCTGCACCCTGTTAAAACAAGCGACAGAGAAAGTGGGAATTGTGTCATCAGCCCGAGTGCCTTGTTCTTTGCAGAACAGACCATCCCAGTTTTCTGCCACCTTTAGTGAGGTTACAGATGGTGGGAAATGAACCACTTCAGATCAAGAGCCCAGCTCAGCTTGACACCATAGGCGACTCTTTACCGCCCCCTGGTGGATGAAGTAAGAGAGACATGGTCTCTAAGGGCTAAGGATGAAGAACCAGCAAATGGGCTGGGGCCGCT